CAAGACTCAACTCCTCCCCATTTAAGAGCACATTGGTTTTCGAATGTTTTACATTAGGTATTGTAAATTTAATACATTTTGTCTTATTGCCGTTTAAGAGCAAATTGTTGGCGTTAAACCAATGTACTAGTTTCGATAGAGCATTATGTTGAACTCCTCCTAAACGGCTAGACCAATTTTGATGATTTTTTTGTGTTTGTGTGGGTCTCTGGATGATTTCGATTCTTAATTGAACCCGGTAGCGCTGTTTTGGAACTCCAGATCTCCACAAATCAACCGTGCAAAGCTGGGACGGATCGCTAGTTATTTATATATTTACGTATGTATTAGTGAGTATGTATGTATCTTTTTTTTATAGGATAGGGTGATAAACGAACACATAGTCCACCTGATGGTAAGTGGTTGCTGTGGCCCATAGACATCTACATCTATCCTCGTTTGCGAATCAAAATGTAGATGCGTTGTCACTCCTGAGGACTAAGATGGAATGCCTCTTTTCCAGTAAAAAGGGTCTCCGGTTCTCTACACTCACCGTACGAAACACAGCAGTGTTAAGCTGCTATTTTACGCTGGTATTCTGTGAGACCGTGGTCCTTCCCCGGTCGAGCCGACCCAATCATGCTCTAACTATACTACTAAAATAGCTGCAGCATGGCTCTACCACGTACAAAGATCTATTTATATGTGGAAATAATTACGTGTATACATGTTAAGTATACCTGTCTATAAGTTTTCCTTTCTTTTCGTCATAGTCTGCCTCTGCCAACACTAGTTATACTGTCAAGGTTGACTGGCAGACATTGCCATAAAGCATTTTTTTTCTTTTTTAAAACGTTACCCCCACACTAGGATTTTCTCCTGTGTCGTGGAGGCAGTTTACAAGCATAAATTGCACAAGGACAAACATCCAGACCCGGAACAATTATTTGTAGGCCATACAAATACTTGTTCCGTGCGAAATTCGAACCCGCGGCCTCCAGCGCAACAACTGATTACTAAGCCACTGCGCCACGGAGCCGTCACCCATTGTAAGACCGAAGATAATTACAATAAAGAATAAATAAATGTATATTAAATATGTTACAGTAATAACAAAGGCTGTCTATTTACTTATTTAGTAATGTCACGCATATAATCTGGATCTGATATAAAAACTATATCTAAACTTAGTTATATGTTTATAATTTAGCTCATAACTGGTCCTGGCTTGCATAGTCGCCTCGCCGGCACTAATTAAATGTTAATTACAATTTTATTTGCTGTTTTACTACGGTACTTGGTAGCGAAGGAAATTATCGTTATGAAGCCTGCATGCGTAAGTAATTAAAAACATTATTTAGAGACTTGAGACTGGTGAACATGCCGCGGAGACATCCTTGCGCTAAAACGTTCTTGGAAATAAGAAGAGGTTTGTGGCCAGCAATTGGACGTAAATAGGCTGTAATTTAAATTATTACTTTTAAAACTCGGTCATGTGTGATAGGTATGTAAAGGATGCGGCGGAGGCACGCTGCAGCATGTATGGGTCGGTTCAACCGGGATACGACCACGCTTGTAGAGAATACCAGGGTAAAATAGCAGCTTAATGCTTCCGTGTTTCGTATGCTGAGTGTAGGGAGCCGGAGACCCCTTCTATTCGATTCTTAATCGAGAATAACGTAGGTATCTATGATGGGTCACAGCATTCGTTTTCTATCAGGTAGTCGCTCGCTTATCATTCTTGATTGTATAAAGAAAGGTGGAAAACGCCATCATTTTCCCAAGATGTCAATTTCATCGGCAAGCAATGTAACCTGTACTTGTAGGGTCACGGATGTGGTATTGGCGAGCGACTAATCTCGGAAAATCTGTTCAAGAACTCTGGTTTTAAATTCCACATATATATCAGTATGGAGGTTAGTTCTCATTGCCTTACCAGTTTCATAAGTATGGTCAAAACTTCGAGGTAACACACGCCAGCTGGAGCATTATTTGAAATGTCAATATTCAGTAGTTGCCGTAAAACGGCTGCTGAAGGAAAGCGGTCAAGTGAAATTAATTTTTTTATGGACAACACACACGCTGCTTCGTCTTAACCAGTATATAAAAGTGCGCTTGTTGGACACGGGCCTCTCCCGGTGTAACTATATTGTGTATTGGCCTCAATCGTCACACTTGGCGTGTGGACTGATGACCGCAGTACTAGCGATCTCTCACCCTTGACGCTGCTCCCCGTCCCCGAAAGACAAGAGCCGCCTGCCGAAAATACCTGATGAATTCTATTAGACCGCCGTCACACAGTAAGAAGGAGCAGCTACGGGGTCTAATAATCTTCCATCTACCAGATGTCGCTAGTTGGACTGAGGTAAAATTTACTGTTACACAGTGTCACTTAATTGAGAAGTTAGTTTTAAATAATAGGTTATTAGTTTCTAGAGTGTAGTATTCATACACACTAAAATGCGTCAGTGATTTGATCTCAAAATTTTTGTTTTTTATACCTCTTTTTTATTTATTTTTTATTTTTAGTTATATTTATAGTTTGGTTTATTTATCTTCTCCCTTATGAAATCTGTCAAATGATTTTCCTCATTGTAAAGTGGCGCCGCCCTGGTGGCAGAAAAAGTCGTGAATGGGCATCCACTAATGAGGGCTCATTTGTTGAAATAGGGATCTAATTTGATTTCGCAGTTTTTTTTAAGTATACCTACAACTTTTGCGATGTCATATAAAGTTTTCCTTCATTCGAGTCGGTTGCAAGTCTAGCGTTGCTGGAGCTACTTACTTATCATGAAATGTGAATTAGTAATCCTTAAATTGTTAAGTGTGTTGTTAGTTAATTAGCAATTTTCTTTTATGTATTCCTTATAATATTTGTGGCCTGTTAAGGCACAATTTCGCACTAAATAACACTGTAGTACACTAGATTTATGAAGAATAATAAAATGCTTCCCTTTCGTGGCTTTCATCTTTACGAGGGGTCACTAATTCGCTGACACGTTACATTTATTAGTTGGAAAACGAGATTTATTATTGTACTAGCGATAAAACTATTTTCACAGCGGTTCCATCTCGTCGTTAAAATAATAAATTCCTTTCCTACGTCCATAAGGGGTCTGTGTAGGGATGAACGATATTAAAAAATATCGATGTTAACATTGATTTAAAAGTATCGATGTAACGATAATTATCGATAGGAAAATATCGATATCCGCAAACATCGATGTTTTAGGTGGCAAATAAACAATCTAGGATTACGAATATATTATTTATTGAATGTATTTGTTACACAAACAAGAAAACAAATAACATTACCAGTATTTTTGAGTACAATCTGCATAAATTAATTAGTCAGAAGTACTGTACTGCACATGTTTAATGGCTATTTTCCTCAACTTTGGATCGTAATGTCCTAGAGTATATCGATGTTTCGATATTATTCTCGTAACATCGGTGTGTCGATGTTTTAAAGGGCTAAACATCGATGTATATTTATGCTTATGTGTGCTTCCACGATAAACAGTTTCGTTTGGCGGTAATTTTAGCGCTTATAAGTCTGTGATTTTGCCCTGAGCTATACTTAACTTCACTTATTAATGTTTGTTATTAAAGCTACGGACTTGACGCGGCCATAAAGCGCGTAATGAGATGGTTCGCGCTTAACTCATATTAATAAATAATAATGGTTGCTTTCAACGCAGCGAAATAGTTTTTAAAGCTTGCTTCACTTGGTTTTTGTTATATTGTTAATTGCAGATTTAAGTACTGCTTTATTACGCCCTCTGCGGTGAAAACAACATTGTAGGGGAATTGAGGTCCTTGAGATAATAAATAGAACTTGTAAACCTATGTTTTTTTATTGAGTAAGGGTGACTGACAAACGAGCATACAAGTGGTCGACTGCTATATTATGTGCGACGGTGAAGAAAAATATTTTGAAGAAACTGGTTGTGTTAGAAATTATAATTTTAAGTACTTTTTTAAAGTATGCTTACACGCACTAAAGCTTCCCTTTGGACTCTTTTCTACTCATAAATCTAAATGAGAAAAAATGAGATTAGGTCTGATCCCAGCATTTGGACCTAAATCGACATGTTATGTTAAGTGAAGCATGGCAATCCTTATTGTACCAACTTTGCGTACTCTTCCCGGCTTTATTAATGTATCAAAAAAAGACATATTGTCTTGTTCATAGCCGTCTATAGGCTACTTTATGCTTTATCTTACTTGACTTTGATAAATCTAATATATAAAAATTAGTGTTTGTTCGTTCAAATTTAATGCGCTGTCATACCGTTTATCTAGTAAAACTTAGTCAATGTATTGCTTGCACTTCCGGGAAGGTTATTATATATATTAGTACAGTTAATTTACATTAGATGGCGGGCGTATCGTACGGACAAATTTATTTGAAAATTATATATCATTTAACTTCAATGAATGTATTATCATTCTCAAATAAACAATATAATTCTACCAAATTTAAAACGATATTTACACAATTATTTCTTCCGCGACTACCAGCTAGCAAATAAATAAAAATGTATGTAAACAATATGAATTTTTTTTATAGGATAGGGTGACAAACGAGCACACAGTCCACCTGATGGTAAGTGGTTGCTTTGGCCCATAGACATCTACATATATCCTCGTTTGCGAATCAAAATGTAGATGTGTTTTCATCCGTGAAGACTAAGATGGAATGCCTCTACCAGTAGGGTCTCCGGTTCTCTACACTCACCATAGGAAACACAGCAGTGTTAAGGTGCTATTTTACGCTGGTATTCTGTGAGAGCGTGGTCCTTCCCCGGTCGAGCCGACCCATTCGTGCTACAACTGTACTACTAATATAGCTGCAGCATGGCTCTACCACGTACAAAACAGTTGTTTCGTAGTAGCAGTATTTGCCATAATCGCCACGCTTGGTAGGCAAATTGGCAAAAATTGTTTGACCTTGACATTTCGAGAGTAATGCTCTACCTAATAACGTTTCGCGTTATGAGGCGTGATGAGCGCGCTTACTAAAAGCCACGCCCACCATGCAAGTACAGCCTTATCACCAACGATCTCGGATGGTGCTTCCTATGGGACGTCATAACAGTGCGGACTTTTCTATCCAGAGCGTTCGGTTCGGTCAGAGTCCACCTGAGTATGACAAAGGTATACGTGAGGACAGGCATGATCCAACCGTTATACGCCTGTGTCTTATTCACGCCCGACAAAAGGCTGTTAAGCACTTTGGTCAAGTGTGCATAAAACAGATCGCAAACTGATTGTTTCATGTCTGCCTCATCTACACCGATGTTCTGTGACATACCCAGGTATCGGTATGTTTCAGCCTCGGAAAGGGTCCTCATGTTGATGGGTATAGGTAAGTCTATGCCCTCAGAGTTAGCAACCCTTCCCCTTTCTACATGAAGGACCGCACACTTACCCATCCCCAGCTCCATTTTAATAGAATTACTAAAATCACGAGTGATGTTTAGCAATTCCATAAGATGGGAGCGACTGGAGGCGAATAACTTGAGATCATCCATATAGAAAAGGTGGGTCACTTTTATACCTCCTTTCCGAAGTTGAAATCCCCTCCCGGAACCCCCCAGTAAGGTACTGAGAGGGTTTAGAGAGAGGCAGAACGAGATTGGACTCAAACAATTGCCCTGCAAGATACCCATTCTTATTCTTATGTGGTTCTCCGCAGCCGTCATTCGGGCGCCTAGATGACAAATGATTATACTCCACTGGCCCATATACTGCCCGAGGACGTCTGGAACTGTACAGTCAACCTTGTACACCTCGAGGACCCTCTTCAGCCATGTATGAGGTACCGAGTCGAATGCCTTTTTGTAGTCTATCCAGGCGGCGGAGAAGTTCCGTCGGTTGCGTTTAACCACCTTGCCAATGACCGCGTCAATGAGGAGTGGTTCCTTGGTTCCACGACCACCGCCCCGACATCCATTTTGAGCGCGCGACATCACCTGATTTCAGTACAGGTGGCGAGTAATTCTCGCGCTCAAAATGGATGTTAGTGTCTTGTATATTATTATTTTTATTGTTATTTCAATATTCGATGGTGATTGGGGAGCTCGCAATTCTCACGACATATATGGTCGTCTATATACATCTGGAGACATCTCAAGAGATAAGAGAAACCAGAGCTTCAAAGGATCTTGGTTCCATGTAAGCAAACGCTGAGTCACTTCCAATTGCCTGAATTTAATTAAGATTAAGTAGGTACTTAGTCTTAAACGTACTTAGGTTTAAACGTAAATTTGTTTTCGAATATGGCAATGAAGTGATATTTATTACGTTCGTTTGGGGTCTCTTTCTTGTATTATTCCAAGACAAATCGTTTATAATTTTTTTTTCTCTAAGTGAATATAAAATGTATGTAGTGTGATTTAATACCTGTTCAAATTAAGTTAAGACTTATGTGGACGCACGAGAAACAGCATTGAAGTTTGTATCTTCGTATCTACAACTAACGAGCCGCGTGGTGGTTTTAATTTATATCACACTTAAATTATGAGATAATTAAATTCTCCACGCCGATCAAATTATACTTTTTTATTATCTGTCAATTAGTTGTAGTTTCGTAATATAAGACTTTCGTTAATTAGCGTTCTGCTCATTTGGAAGTGAAATTAGTTATGTATATTGGATATCTAATGGTAAATTAATTTTTCTAATAGTTCACGTATCAGATTAAACTTTTCGATGAATCCAAACCTCCTGCCTTTCTTTACATCTTTATTTATACGTAAAGAAAGTAATGAAATAGCCGTTAAAAGTGAGATATCATTTCATTAATGATGATATAATCTTATCATGTGAGTACGCTCATGGGAAATAACAATTTAAATAACTTGTTACATTGCAGAGTGTGTACCGCCGTGTTCCGGTGTGAGATTATAGAAAAAAATAGAGAGACACTAATTACAGAATATGTTATTCCATCTTAGTCCTCACGGGCGACAATGCGCCCGTAGCTTATTTAAAGTTAGTGGCGGGTGTCCACGGACTGCAGTAGTCAATTACTATCGAGTAGACTGTTAGTTCGTTTGTTTGCAATTACATTAAAAAAAAAACCAGCCAAGTGCGAGTCAGACTCGCGCACCGAGGGTTCCGAACAAATCCGTAGGTATATAGGTTTAAAATTATTAAAAATATTTTTATTGTATGATGTGACTAAAAATGTATGCTTTTCACAATTTTTCCTTTATATTTGCTATAAAATGTTGCTTCGTACCAAATTTCAAGATTCCGAGTTCACGGCAAGTACCCTGTAGGTTTTGATTCCCTTGCGAATGTCGAAAATTTGCGGCATAACCAGCTGCATCTTTTGATGGCGTTGGCTTAGAAGTTTGATTTTTTCACAGCTCCAAGGGACAGTAGACTTGAGTATTTGATATGAATTTCAGCGTGATACTTCCAGGCGTTCCTGAGAAAAAGGGTCTTGACAGACAGACAGACAGACGGACAACAAAGTGATTCTATAAGGGTTCCGGTTTTCCATTTGAGGTACGGAATCCTAAAAACGAGCTCAGAATTCACGTACAACTAACTTCGAAAAACAGATGTCTTATAACTTCTGAAGGCATCGATGAAAAGCCCTAACACTTGTAATTATACTCTTACCTATCAAATCACAACAAAATAGTAGGCTTACGGCGTGAACTTCTAGTCTAACAAAAGCTCTACAATCAAAAATGTACATCCATTTCCATTTCCATTTCCATTTTTTCTTTTTCTTGATCAACCCGCAAAAATCTACTGCTACATATGCTTCTCTCCCGTTGAAAGTATTTGGCCTTAATCGCCACGTTTGGTAGGCGATTTGGCGTCGCAGTACCACACGTATCTTACTTTTGAAGTTGCTCCTCGTTCTCGGTCCCGATATTAACGATATTCCCGTAGCCTAACGAGATGTTTAGACCGTTATTTATCAGAAGGCGTGAGATGGTTTTTGAGTTTCTCAAAGTTGCCGCTTACGATATCCATCATCTATGACACGAAGTGGAGTGATGGGGTATCTTACGTCGCCACCACACGGCTCATCGAGTTTCTCATCTTATTCAGTTTCCATCATCGATAATCAATCATTTCTGTGTATATTGTTGAATTTTTCAATTAACTAGTATGGCACTATTTACATTAAGTCTTCAATTACGAGATAAATCCACGATTTAGCGGAGAAGTAACGGTAGCTAATGAACTGAATTTTAAACAAATGTATGGATAGCATTTTTACAGATGTTGAGCCCTTGCGTAAATTGATTATTTAAAATTTAGGTAACTAACTAGTACGTTTATTACATAATCTAACATTTTAAAATTTATCATTTAAATTGACATTATAATTTTGACTCCAATTAATTAATTTGTTTATAATAATCATAGATGTACACAATGGAGTTTCTGTTTGTTGTTTAAAAAAAATTTGCATGTATGCCTGTAAAATATTTGCACACCACATGTAGTGGTAGAATGTAAATGGGACATTAGATATAATTTAATATCATACTTTATTGTACACCTACATTCTGGCAAATAAATGAATTTGTATTTGAATTAAATTCTTATCACTATGAACAGTTGGTCTCATTACCTTACATACACAAAACATAGAAAGTGAAGAAAGTTACGCTTGTTTCAATAAATGAATGCTTAAAGAGATTTAAATGTATTATAGTGAAAAAGCTTCCATTACTTCCAAATACAAGTGGTAAAATTAAAAATTTTGTACAACTGACTTCAACATAAAGAAAATAAGAACATCATCAATGTAGTCGAAGTCAATTAAATACGCATTGTAAAGGATAACTCAAAAACTACTGGTCAGATCTTGATTAAATTTATATGGGACCACATGAGAAGCACTAGCTTTCAAATAAAAAAGAGTCATCAAAATCGGTTCACCTAAAAAAAATTCTGAGGTAACATGCATAAAAAAATACTGTCCAATTGAGAACCGCCTCCTTTTTTGAAGTCTGTTGAAAATAAATACTTATCCGATACTTAAATGTAATAACTGTATAATCCCAATCCGTCATTGTTTTGTAGTGTCATAATGTTGCTTGTATCAATATGCACTATACTCGTACGCTGGCTATTATCCTAGCTAATTAACGCGTGTACGAGTACATCTCGTCCGCGCTGGAAACCAGGACGCGTAGCCAGCCGCTTGGTAATTGATTGTAATGTGTCCCGCGGAGCACCCGGGCCGCTACGAGGGCGCTCCGTTACGCATGCGTAATTTCGTCAGGGCTACGCCGCACGTACATTGCTGATTTATTGGCTAGGTTTAAGAGGTTGTCGGTGTTCGCGTCACCGTGCTTGGCGATAATAGAACTGTTTGCTCGCTTGCCCATTCGTAATGTCCGGGCCTGGTGATTTTTCATTAAGAGTTAGGCGCCACTTCTTCCGCAATGAATAATTTAACGTGCGGTTAATTTTGACTGTTTATTGTTTCTTATTGCTAGAGTGGATTATCTTTATTTATTTTATTTTATTTTATTATTTATATATTCTTAAAAAGAGTACATACGTCGGCAACAAAACAGTTTAACGTTTCACACTCCTTAATGACAATATATCGTCTGAATATATAAATAGCTAAATCTCTGCATATCTTAAAGACTAGAAACATTCACCACTAGGAACTCAACGACAGAACAGATATTGTTTCCTCGAGATGGTTTTGAGCTGCGACTTAGTTACGCTTTCGTCATATACATATTATATCCTCCAGCTCATTACACAAGGTCGGAGTTATCCATTGCCTTGTACGCCGTCCAAAGTAATTTTCAACCCTAGGTATGGGATATTTCCTCCTTTGTGTAATTTGGCTCTTTGGCATTATATCTTAGGTTTCTTATATGTTACCATTCCATGCTGTTCTTATATTATGGTGGATTTTACTTCCTTGTCTATGGGAATAATGTTACAACTCTAAATTTAACTATTTAAGTTGGACATGATTTTTTCTACGCTAGTATATTTCTTTTAATACATACCTCCCTGTTATACTCGTAATAAAACATGTTCAATTTTGCTGTGTTAACGGCGTAAGAGAATCCATCACCCTATTTCGTTTCGTGGGTGCCGGCAGACGGTGGTAAAACCATTTTTCTTTATAGAACAATGGTGACAAACAAGCACACAGTCCACCTGATGGTAAGTGGATACTGTGGCCCGTAGACATCTACATCTACCTGCGATTAAGAATCTAAATACAGATACGAATGTCAGTATTATGCTCCTACTTTACACTGGTATTCTGTGAGAGCGTGGTCCATCCCCGGTCGAGCCGACTCATTCGTGCTGCAACCATCACACAGCTACAGATGAGTCGCTCGCGTCCGTAGGCTTTGACCACCTAATCCTAGGCCCACCCTACACGTGTCCCCTGGGTGGTGCTAAACGAGCGACAAAGCCGACAAAGCCGATAAGATAGACTCGGCTCCTCGTCGTATGGTAAAATCTACCACCCCTTAGTTCGCACCATGAGCCAAGAAATAAAAGAAATGGCCCCAAGTTCCCGGCGCCCCTTTAATGGGGCAGGGGTGCGAAGAATCTCCGGGAGAAAAACCGGTGACGAGGTTCGCCACCCGTCACGTCCTGTCTCCCGGAGGGGCGAAAAGTGAATCTCGTTTACGCCAGACGTAAAATACCCATACCGGCGATGGGCAGCAGCGTCAAAGACATGAACCGATTGGTACTGCGATTGTCGATGCGTCTGCCAGCTGGCAGCTACAGGGGTGCCCTACAACTGGAAAGGCCTATGTCCAGCTGTGGGCTTTTACGGGTTGATGAAGAATATACGTAGTGGAGCCACCCTGCCGCTATATATACGTAGTGGAGCCACGTTGCAGTTATATATACGTAGTGGAGCAACGCTATAGTTATATATACCTGTTCTAGCCACGCTGCAGTTATATATACGTGGTAGAGCCACTTGCAGCTGTATTATGGT